AAAAAACTGGGGTGACGGTCCTCGCTACTACTGGACTGCATGCTGGAGATATTTTGTGCTATCTAGCTGATTGACTTTCAAACCATAGGCAGTCAATTTCACAACAATTGACTGTGTCCGCCACCAAACTCAAGAAAATCAGCGGGGAATATTGGGACAAGAAGCATGGAACCTGTTGATATGACTGGTCTCAACAATATTTCAGGGGAATGAGATGCAGTCTTTGCTGATATAACCAGCCTAGCTCTAAATCATGAGCTCTTACTCCTTCAAATTTACTGTGGCCAATCTTTTCACATTTTTCAAAGGATTCAGCCAGTGAATACCCTGAGTAGCTAAACCCGTACTTAACTTATATACAAAGGGCCCTAGTTTTGTCTTGTAAGATTTGTCTCTAAAATATCTCTCTTTAATATTTTGATATGTTTCAAAGAATCTATCAAGTACTGATCTATTAAAACTCCTCTTGATATATTCATCAGTCAGCTCACAATGAAGTTTGGACAGATTTTTATTGGTATCAATCTCTTGATGGATCACCAAGCTTCTGCCACTAGTGATATGGACAACATGGCTGAGATCTATAAATCTTCCAGAAACAAAGGAATATCTACCCAATTTGCTTCTGGCTCAAATTCTGAGGAACAGAACTTTATACATTCACAGTCACACAATCACAATGGAGAATTTATAAGTCCCCCATCCAATGATTTTGACAATAAACATATGTCAGTTTCTGGGGGTGATAATGATTCTTGCTGTGACAAAAGAATACGGGATGTTGGGGCAATTGTACTGGGTCCTGCTGTGTTTATCTGTCTCACAGGGATTTGGTATTGCGCTTATTGTCGCAAGGCTTGCAAAGAGTATGTAGTGGAATTTTGCCCTCCTATATATGCTCACTAATATTCTTGTGGAATATATTCTTGAATTGATTACAGCCAAAAGGCTGCTGAAGAGGCAGCTGCAAGAAGAGCTTCTTGGGCTTGAAGTCAAGATTGAGGCACTCAAAGAAAGCCAACAATATACAGGACACACAAAAGGAATTCTTTGTAGTATTTTTCACACCCTGCATTTTCTGCCATATCAAGAATACAGATGTTGCAATTTGATCATGATATTCAAGTGTTCTAGTATGCTCTACCATTTAAGCTTGAAGGTGTATTGTTGCTTATTTCCTGAATTTCCAATATGTTCAAGTAGAAATGTAGGAATCTGATATTCAATTCCATGTCTCCTTACAAGGAATAAACAAATCAATGGGATTCAACATGTCAACTTAAACACAGCTCACAAGCTCTTCTGTTGAAGTTTCACTTGTCCACCTCCCCCTCTCTCAACCCATAATG